CCTTTCCTCTCCGTCTCCTCGCCCTGCCCTGTTCTGCTCCGGGGCGGCTCTTAGCCGAGCTCCCCTTGGGGCTGTAGGCGGCAGCTGTCGCGGAGCCGGGACCTGGCCTGCGGGCGTTCGGCCTCCTCGGCGCTGGGGGGAAGCCCCTGAGGGCGCCACTCGCGCGGGCCCAGGTGGCTGTGGCGATCGGGCGTCCCGGCGCTGGGGTCGGGGATCGTGGGTAGCCTCCTCAGGGCTCCGAAGGTGTTATTTGTGATGTTTGATGGCGGCTTGAGCGTGCTTTAATGGTGGGCATACACCTACATAAACCTATGTGCGCCCCTTTTTATTTATTTATTTTAACGACAGCCCTTTTTCTATCAGGGAAGGCAGAGGGCAGTTGGAAGGCTGCCCTGTGACATGAAATTTGCGTAACAAGTTCTATTTAATATATATAACCTGTAACTCTAAGCTAAATTAAATACAGAATTTTAGAAGCATGCGTTTACTTATTCAACACTTATGGCTTCCAGTCCGGCTGGCAAAGTCGGGTTTTCTGGTGGAATGTATGTTCTAGAAATAAAGTATTAAGTCACACCAAACTAAAAAAGAAAACCCTAATTGGGTATTACCAGGGTATTGCAGTCAGTATCCTCACTTTCTTGGTAATTTATCCTGTTCTTTGCTATCTGTTGCACTCACTTTAGAATCCCAGAGTTGTTGTTTTACTTGCCCGGAAACAGCAAACCAGCAAGATCCTTTTTCTTGTAACTTTTAAGTTGTGATTATTTTCACAAGAGTATTTACACTGATCTTAATTTGTTTGTAATTGGTCAAAACCCTGTATTATTATGTTGAGATATCTTTATGTTAAAGGATTTCTTGTTCCATTTTCAGAGGAAACTATTATGAAGGTTTAGAAGACAAGATTCTGCTTGCTGCTGAAGTAAAAAAAAAAATCTTTATAAACAAGATCTTGAAGTTCAAGTGTAACATCACTAATTTTGTTTTTAGAACAAGCTAAAAGCTCTCATTTTGGAAGACAAAATGATTGTGGGTGGGGGTTTTTACTTAATGTTAGAAAAAATTATATAAGTCATTTTTGCAGGCCAATTAATATTCACATTTGTTGCTTTTAATGGTAGTATTCTATTTTCATAGTAAGCTTATGTGAATTGAGGAAAGACATAAAGTGCTTGCAAAGATCAGGGATTTAATTGATGTAAAAATATGTGTTCTGATTTGATGAACAAATGATATTAAGATATCCCTGAAATAAAATTTGGTTTCTAGTCTTTGAATAGCCACTCTAATCCAGAATAGCATTCAGTTTTCTGGTGTGATCTGACCCTTTCTTTTTCCTGTGTTGACTCTTTTTATTAAAATACTGAGTATTTATTTAAAATGACAAAGAAATTACAACTAGAATAATACCCCATATTTTTTTTATGTATTTGGATCTTTTCTGCTTACAAAAAATACTTTTATCATGAACTGTGGAAATACTTTTGTGGAAACTCTTAAGAAAATTGGATATCCAAAAGCTGATGAGCTTGATGGAGATGATTTTGACTGGCTGTTTGAGTTTTTCGAAGATAAAGTATTTCTGGAGTGGTTTTGTGGAAATGTAAATGAGCAGCATGTGGTATCTGAAAAAGAACTGCAGGATTTTGATAATCTTCTTGAGTCTGGTAAACCCATTTTGGAAGGAAATGCACTAGATGAAGTCCTTAAAACTTTGAAGCCCATGGATTCGAAGAACAGTAGCCAAGAGGAGGAGGAGGAAGAAGAGGAACTGAAGAAATTAGAGGATGAGCTTCAAGCTCTTCAGAAGTTAAAAAAACTTCAAATATATCGTCATAATAAGCTTCAAATGATGGTTTCTGTCAATAGCCATATGCTGCAAACAGTAAAAATCAAAGAAAAAGAGGCACATAAGGATTTGAGAAAAGGACTGCAAGTGTTTACTGCAGCAAATAATACGCTTAATAATGAACTGCTGTCTCTCATAGATGCAGCTAAGAAACTGGCCTCTTTCTTCACTGCTTCAGATTCAGAACAAGGGTCAGGTCTACAGCCAGTGTTTTTTTCCCAACTTCCTTTGGACAAATATTTGTCTCAGGAAGAACAAAGCACTGCAGCACTTGCCTCATACATGAGAAACCATTTTTATCAAGGTATGTCTGAATGGGTTGAAAATTCAGACAAAGGCAGCTTTCAGCTTGCAGATAGAAGCAAACAAGTCACTTGTGATGAGACTAATGAAGTTTGTGAAGAGAGTCAAGAGATGGTCAGGCTCCAGACAGCATATGTTTGTGCTCAATGTCAGCTAATGCGGATGAAATCTAAAGAGGAGAGCATGAATTCAGCTATAAAATGTGCAGAGAGGATGCTGAAGTCCTTAAACAAGGTAAGCCCCAGAAGATGATAGAAGGTAGGAGAGTTCTAAAGAGGCAGGCATGTTCAACTGCATCTAGTAAAAGGAATCGCTGAGTTACTGTTATTTCAGCTATTTTTACATAGTGAAATTGCATTTTTATGAAGTTCTAGTCTTGCTCACAAAACTCCTCTTGTGAAATAGCTCCTGTTTCTATGGTTAGAAATTCTTCAGTATGGCAGAGTACCTTTAATTCTACTTTCCAAAATTACTACCTTAAAAAAGAAATCTAGATCTTACTGGGGCCTTTTTAGTTCAGTTTAACTTTGAAATTTCAGATTATAACTGGCTCTCAGTTGTCTGTACAGCAAACTAAAGCTTAACTTTGGTTGAAATTTTGTGGTATTGAGGAGCTAATACGATAAATGTATTTCTGTATATATTCCATAGCATAAACTTAAAAAGTTTTATATCTCTATGACTCTTTTGAAACTCAAGTATTTGTACTAAATAAATTAATCTGATAGTTGAAGCCCCAGAAATCTCTCAACGTGAGTGATGGGCCGATATGGCTACTGGAATTTAAGAACGTGAAGAAATTGTAATGGAAGGAAAAATATTAGCTGCTTCTGTTCATGGACTTACTTGAGGCATCATGTCAGTTTGTATATTTTCATTTATGGATGACTAGCATGTAGGACTTGATTGATTAGAGTAACTTGGAAAAGATTGATTCTGATAGCAGTGTTGATAGTCACCCAACTGAATATAAAAACCTGTGTTTGCATGTGAGATTTCAGTTGGACATGCTTGAAGTCTGGCTGCTAAGTAAAATACAGCTCTTTTATTTTTAACGCAATAAACTGTTTTCTGGCCCTGCAATAGAATGAAATTACTATTTATTGAAATATATCTATTTGATATCGACTTTGTAACTCTGTTTTTGCCTTACGTTGTAAAGTTCTGTAAGACTGCATGTGGAGTATTCATTTAATTTTGTAGATCTAAAAGATGCAGTGATTTTAATGTAACGTAAGTACATGGATCTTGTGTGAACTGAAGAAATGTGTTCTGAAAGTGGCTTGGAGGGAACTGTTAACAAATTTTTTGTTTATGCAGGATTTTGGAAAACAAGAAAACCTTGATGCCAAAATATCTAGTTTAAATTATGACATTTCAACGATTAAACAAGATGTAATTCGGATGAGCAATGAAGAGCTACTTCCCCTTCTGAAAGAGAATGCACAACATTTGTGCGCGCCAGTGGTGAAAGGGTACTTGGATTGTCAGATTGCTCAGCATGATAATTATGCTTCAAGACAAGATAAAATATGCAAGCACTTGATAAGACAAAAAGCATCATTTGAACTTATTGAGCTAGCCTATGAAATGGAGTTGAAGAAACACAAGGAGATATGCTGTCAGCTTGAGGATTTGGTAAAATCTCTGGAACAGAGCAGTGATGAGTTGCAGCAGAGACTACAGGTGATAACTGAGCAAACTCAACATGCAAAGCCAAGAAACGTTATTAGTTCAAAGGATGGTCTCTCTTACAGGTAAGCTTTATAGTCACTACTGAACTTTGACTTTGAAATAATATTGGGGAGATAAAGGACTGGGTGAGCTGGTTACCTTTTCTATTGCTAAATTCTTAGTATCTTGCTAATTGGTATTTTGAGTTCTCCAGAACTAGAGCATTCAAGATAGGAGATTTGCCTCTTGCTTATCCTTTGAAACTATTTTCAGGTTTGCCTGAGGAAAAACTGTTCAATTATCAGTCTTGCTTAGGAATGCTTCAGCAATATTAACAATATGCTGAATATGAATGTTTAAAGCCAAACCTGTCTTATATGGTGCCCTGATCTAGAACCTCTTAAAAGTTATTCTAGAAGTATAGACATAGAGAGCTGTTACTATCAATGATTTCCCAGATCATATGCATGACCTCACCAGCTTAGCCTGCAAAAACCCCCGTGTGGTAGAATAGAGGAATGACTCCATTAATATATGAAACGTGTTTAGCTCTTTTTTACTGCTTGATTTGCCATCTGGCTTCAGTGTCCTGTCACCCATGTAGGAGTCTCGTTTTTCACCATCTAAGTAATTAGGTCTCCTCATAGCTCAGGAGGTAACAGTAGGAGTGTGTGCTTTGTTGCTGTCACTTAAGACTAAAGCTTTTGTTGAGATGTATTGTATAATTATAGGTGTGTTAGATTTTTTTCTCCTTTTTTTAAAATGGTGCTTTTAAGTGTTTTTTAATAATTGCAAAGTGACAGCTGAGTATGGCCTTGCACAATGAATAACTGCAAGAAATAGGCATCATTAATTTTGCTCCCATTGTGTGTTTGCATTGGCAACTTGTAACATTTTTGTTCAGGTTTATTATTAAATATCCAAATCAGTGAATGCTGTCTGTCTACTTTTTCGCTTTTTTTTTTTTTTAAAGGGAAGTTGAGAGAATTATAAACCCTAAAGGGTTTGTAAGCAGAAGACACTTGAAAGAAACTCAGTTACTTTTGAAATATAGTTCTTGCTTTTATTAAAGCCAATCTGATTGTATATTGGGGCTCAACTCCTGAATATTTTAATATGTAGGGGTGGTAGTAGCAACAAAGCAAAGTTATCTGTAATCGTGTTAGGCTTTTCCTGATGCAGTATAAGGGTACAGTTTGGTATAGCAAATATTGATGTCTTTTGCATGACTCAGAGCTAATTGGAGAATTTCTCAACAGTCTTTTCATAGATAGAAAATGGGAAATACTCCAGTAAGCTTGATAATGTTATAAAGATTGCTCTTACTTCTCACTGGTCCTTGAAGTCTGCTGTTTTTCAGCACTTAAAAAAATTGTGTCTTTGCAGTCCTTGAAGTGTCGGGAAATAGTTGGCAAAAACGCATTGTCAACTTCTGTTTGCATTCATTGTTGCTTACTAACTGTTACTTTGATATTTCATCACTGTTAATTTAATATTGAAATATTTTGGAGTCTTATTAACCACGTACTAGCTATCTATAGATAGAATCATGAAATCAGTGGGTGATACAGCAGTGCAGTAAGAGTACCCTGAGCAGTACTGTCCTTTACTAGTCCTCTGACTTCTCAACATTAAAATCTTCTCTTGACTAATAATGACGGGAGTGCTTAGGAAAGTTAAAAATGCTTGTGTGTCTAACTTCACTTGTTACAGGTTATATCAGCTTTTGGAAGGAGAAAATAAACAACAACAATTGTTTAAAACGTACAAAAGCCTAGAGCAGATGGCTCGGAAGTTAAAGCAGGACTGTGCTACAGCACAAGATGAGCTAGCAGCGTCTTCTCAAGAAGAATCTCTCCTTTTGTCCAAGCTAGAAAGTGATGTAAATACCCTTTATGATGCTCTGTATCATGGAGGAAATGAGATCCAACTTAGCAGTCGGGTAAGCTTATCTAGTTATTAAAATTATTACATTAATGAGTGTCATGTTATTTTACTGAGAAAAGTGTATGAAGGCTGTAGACACAGACTGGCTCCCACATGTCAACAAGAAATTTATTAGCACAGTGATGACACAGTATTCATATAGTTCTTAGCAAATGTTGTTTTTTGTAAATGTTGATAGGTAATTTTTGTTTCTGAGCAAATCATTGCCTCTAACTTAATTTTTCAAAGGCATGCACAGTCTTGTGTTACTAGTAAGTTTATGGTGTGGGAAATATGTCATCTGGATTATGATGTCACTGGAAAACTCGGTTAAATTTCTCTTTATTTCAGATGGGCTGTTCATTCCTGTTAACACCCGAATAGTGTGGTTTGGCCCCTTAAAAAGCCTGGTCATGAGTGGCTTATTTGAACAAAATAAGAATATCAGAATTTTGAAGGACAGTTGTAGCAGGACAACCCTGCTACAGAGCTCCCAGGTGTTGTCTGTTTTAGAAGGTTGTTAAATGCAACTTGTTGTGGTTTTAAATAACTGTAGATACCTCAAAAGTGGATTAAGGGAAGTATTTTGTTACATAATACTTCCTTGGTTAAATACATAAAAATATATTTAACACTTCCATCTGTCAAGTGAATTTGCAACATACAGAAGATTTTTATTAAAAAAAGAAACTTTGTAATTGCAAAAATACATATTTAGGAATTACACGATATTAAATCAACCAAATACCTTTCTGTTGATTCAAGTTACCTCCCAAAACATAGTGACATCTATTTTCTATTGCTACTGTTTCTCAAGAAATGTAATTCTTTTAGTAAGAAAATAATGTGCAAGTAGATAACTAGCCTGCTTACACTGAACTATCATAAGAAAAACAGTTGGGAAAACTATTTGGTAATTAATGATTTAATTCTTAAACTGATTTTTTTTTTTTGGCATTGTTTCTTGATCCCTTTTAAGATTTGACTAGCTATGAAGATTTGTAATTGATTGAAAGAGTCATTCAACCATCTATCTAGTTGAGGGCCAGATTGTTTTAGCCTTAACTCAGCTGGTTTAGTGAGCAAGTAAATGAAATTACATTTTTGTAACCTGATGTGAGTACTGTTACATGAAGCTTAAAAGTTATATAAATTGAGTGGAATCCCTTATTGCCTGTGTTTCTGGTTTTTGTGATTACTTTTCAATTGCAAACGAAAGTGGCTTCCAAATGCAAAAAACTTGTACATTTCTAGTTCAACTCATGTATTAACAGTATGAAACTAATAATTTTTTGTATTGTGTGTTTTTTTGTTAGGAACTTACTGACCAGTTTCATCAACTGGAAGTTGATTTACGTCAACTAAATCAACTCCTTATGGATCTGATTGCTGATGTAAAGTCAAAGAGATCCTTTTTAGCGTCCAGTAAGCTGCATCAGATGGAAAGAAACTTGTATGTGTATTTTTTAAAAGATGAAGCCCACTTGAAAGAAGTGGTGGAGAAGCTTGAGCAGCAATCTGAGGCTAAAGCTAGTGGTCTGGAAGATTAGAATTTTACCACTGGTGGAGTTCTTAATGTTTAAACTTCAGTGTACTCTTAAGAAAGGAAAACATGTTAATGTAAACTGTCTACAAGCTTATAGAATAAGTATTGGCTTATCAAGGCTAACATTTATCCATCGTTGCAATGTTATGTTTAACTGCCACCGTTACCAAATTTGGATTGTACACTGCTTTATGGCTTTTGGCACCTGCCCGCCGAGTTCAGATCTCAGTTTTATTCAAGTTCTTTGATATGAAGTAATACATTGGTTATCTGAATGAATTACATTCAGGCTGCTCTTCTGCTAGCCTGTATTCTGATTTCCACTGCACACCACATAGCATAAAAAGGAGCGTTTTGTACCCTTGAGAAGTTTTCTTGCATGCTAAGAACCTTTGATATGTGAACTGATAAATAAATATTCCAGATTTTGCAACATGAATGTAATGTGCTCATTCTGAAGAAGAGAGTTCTCCAAGGCAGATATTACATGATTGTTTCCCTCACAGGTCTCCTAAGAAGATTTAGTTTTGTTAGAAGTGTGTTGGAATATGTGCCAGAATCTGTTTGAAGTACCAAGGCCATCTGTTTTAGGACCATCCTGTTAACTCTTAATTTCACTTATGGCCTATCTTCTCTATTGAAATCAGTCCTTACTCATACTAGGTTCTTCAAAGAAAAATAATTTTTAATTTACCTTTGGGACTTCTGAGTCTGCCCTATAATTTATGATGATAGACATTTCAGTACAGAGTCCTGATGATGCTTTCATACTTCTGCTTTCATGTGCATTGTTGACTGTTTATCAAATTTTTATATAGCTTCTTAATATACCAGTGGAACTAAATAGGCTTTTATAGTGTAATTTCAGTCTTTCATATTTTGATGGGATTATCTGTGCTTGCTTTCAAGTGTTGTACATACTGATGAAGGTTAGTAAATTAGCTTAAACTTCGGTAACAGCAGTGTTAAAACTATTTTGATGGCAGACTTTTAACTTGTGAATATAACTTTATTTTTCAGTGTTTAAATTTTGTGTTTAACTTAACAGTTGAATGTCTTAATTTCTGGATTTCATCCTGCTTAACTTTATACATTGTGTTTATTATTAAATGCCAAGCACTCTAAATTCAGTTCAGTGTTGTCAATATTTATGGTGAATTTGTGTGTTGATTTTAGGTGCATTCTCATGCATAGTGTCTTGTTTATATTTTGTCTGCTAGGTTCTCATTTTGATCTACCTCTGAGGCTTGAAAACTGCTGCTTCCCACCTTGAGAAGTCAGGGAATGTTTTCACCCTGTGTAGGGAAGAAGTGTTGCTCTTAATTATAAAAGTTAGGAGTAGTTGTGCATGGGGAAGGATTATACTTCTGGAATGTAGGGAAAAGAATGCCATTCTGCATCTCTCTCCCTTCCTCATGCTTACTGTAAAATTTGAGCTACGTGGGTATAGCCAATATTAATGCAGTCTGATGGATGTTCTTCTTTGAACCTGGATACAAATGTTTGTACTTGTAAGTATTCAAAGTTGCAGTCTGCCTGTGGTCTTGAGCAAAGAAAAATATTTCCATCTAAGTAGAGGAAATATTCTTTACTTGATGGTTAAACTTGACTTGAAAGTCTACTCATGGCACTGGATTTAGTGGAAGAAGACCAGAGTAACAGGACTCTATTTAACTTGTATAGGAATAATTTACAGAACAGCAGTTTTTGATAGAGCAATTGGCTTTTACAGCTTAAATCCTTTAAAGGTTTTGAAAATGTTGGATATTTATCTTGTGTTTGTGGTAAGTTTTATGCATTGGTTATGCATTATGTTCTGGTCTAACTATATAAAGGCAACAAAGTAATCAGTATGGACACTGTTGTTTCTGATTCTCCCATATGTATTGTATCTGGGGCTCTCCCAAGTACTTTGTATATACAACAGCAGTAGCTGCAGTCAAAGCTTGTAGAGACTTCAGATGTTGCTGACCTGTTTCTTAAATTGACAAACTGTAGTAACTATTTTATGGTTATTACTGTTTCATAATACTTGAGCACATTAGTTGTACAAAGTTTAAGGAATAGAAGAGGTCTTTTATAAGTATTTTCTGAAACAACACATCGCTAATGTTTGTATATCATGATAGTAATACTTTTTTCTTTCATCTTGTGTTAGCTCTATTTGGCAGTTACTTGAAATATTTTTTTCTTGATAAAATCTGAGCACCAATAACAGTAAATGGATGCACATACTAGATAGAATAGTTTAAAGATGTTGAGGAGGGAGGGAGTATTTCAGACATAAATGATAATTCTTTTGTCAGATTTTTTTATTATAAGTTAGCTTTTACTTAATACGACTGCTTAAATTTTTATTGGTGTATTAAAACACCAAAGAAGTTTCAAAGAAATTTCACAGTGGTTTTTATCAATTATTACAATTTGCTAATTTTTATTTACAATACTTAAAAACTGATAGGTATGTCTGGGAGGAAATGTCAGTCTATCATGGAGAATGAGTGGCTGAACATGTTCAACAGAATGTAAGTGCAGATTGTTCTATGGCCCTGATATAATGCATTAAATTTGTGTATGTTCTGTGTTTAGGTTTAATCTTAAAAATGGAACAGTACACTTCATACATAGGATGTGAGACTTCTAAAGTGCCTTTATCTGATATTGCGCAGAGGATTATGACAGCTTTGCAGTCTATTCCTGTAGGAGAAGTTCAGACTAGCAGAAAGAATAACCAGAGTGAGTAAATCTTAGCCTATTTAAGTGTTTCTATTTTCAGTTCCAAACCTGAAACCCAGACAAAACTATCAAACTTCTAGTCCCCATTTAAAAAGAAAAAAAAAAGTGAGAGTTTAGGTTTCCAGGTTTAGAAACGGAATTAAGCTGTAACTCTTGACATTTGGTGGGACTTCTCTGATTAAATAACACTCTGTGAGTGCAAGAAACTAGGCTATTACCTGTACCTTCAGTTTCTTTTTTTTTCCCCCCCCTGTTCCTGCTATGTGGTGTATAGAAGTAGATGAGAATTTCAAACTGTTAATTAATTAATACTAAAGGTATATGCTAACTTGACTCTGGACTAGATTAATTTAAAGACCACTAGAGGTACTGGAAACTTGCCAGAAGGCCTGTGAACTCTCCAGACTCATGTCTGTCCTTGAAACACATGTTCATTAGCAACTCACTCCTTGTGAAATTCTAGGGGGAAGAGTGAACAAAAGTCCCAGTGGTAGAGCAAATTAGGTAATGTTAAAAGTGCCTCAGCAGATCTTTGACTGTTCAGCAAATCTTACTCAGAATGGTGTGGATACTAGGAAGGTTTTGCAAAATGGGATTTTTGTTCTCGATTCTGTGCATTTTGTAGTCTTCCAGTCTTGTAGCTCTGGAGAGAAGTAGATAGCAAGTTAAGAGTTTTTTGCTCAATTTCAGCTGTCTGTTTTCTCCTGAGAACTAGATTCTGGAACATTATCTGATTGATAGGATTTAAATCTAGCATTTGTTCTTGTGTACAAGGTGTTGTAGCCTCAGATTTATGTAACAGTTCAGGCTCTTTTTTTGGTAGTAAATGTTGGATCACTAGAGTCTCATGGTGTGTAGCAGTGAAAAGGGTGATAGTTCATTGCTATGTGAATTGGTGATATGCGTTTGAAGGAATATGGGATAGGTTCATTAATTTAATATGGTACATTTAGACTAAAACCCAGATTTCTCTTCTGCCTTGGTTTAGTTGCTGTTCACCTCTCTTATTGCCTTGTCATTTTCCCTTCCTTAATTTGTCTTAGACTGGGGAAGTCTCTGCATTCTGTGATATCTATATCATGTTTTGTTGGCTGCTCTTGATCCATTCAGTCTCTGTCAAGCTGTAAAATTACAGATAGTTTTTTTTAAAAAAACACCTTGAAGGTGTCGGGTATCTTTCACCAAATGAGCTTGCTGTCTTTGTAGTGCTGCTAAATCCTTACTGGGGAGTGAAAGAACAGGGCAGGCATTTAGTGGTGGCAGGTCACATGACTAGCTTTTCTTGCTGTTCTTTTCCTTGTAGTAATTAAAATTGTTTCTAGTGTACAGGTTTAAGAACAAATTTATTTATATTGCTTTTAGGAAATTGCCTGTATATATAGCTTTAGCTGATCACTGTGGATCTGGAGAGAAGAAAGTTTGTCTCCTTTAAAAAAACTAAAACCTGTTATGTTGGTCTGTTTCAAACTGTATTGAATTGTATTTTATTGTTAGAACTTTAAAGATTAAATGCGACTTACTGGAAAAACTGTTTGTATTTAGAAGGTAAATACTGGGTTCAAATGGGACAAATATCTGTGATGTTGAACTAGTGGGTGAAATTCTGAGGTTATCTTGTCAGTAGAGCTTGTAATGGTTCCATCACTTAAGGAGTTTGAAGGCAATGATGGGTTTCTACTGCCATCTGGTGATACATTTTCATAAACCAGAAATTTGAGGTTGCATAGCTCTTTAGATACCTGTCATACTGAATACTGTGTGCTGAAGGAGAGAAATGTAATCCTCATCGTCTTATCTGAAGGGTGAATTTGTCAACAAAAGGGATCCAGCTGTGAAACAATTAAAAGCACTGAATGTAAACAGTTACTATCATTATTAAATTACAATTTTATTGTTGTAGGAAGTCTCAGGAAAACCAAAGCTAAAATGTTTGAAGCTACGAATTACAGCTGTGCCATATTTGCTATTCTAACAGCTCAAGTTAGAAGTCAGCTGGAGACAAATAACTGATTATACACATACACCCACATGAATTTGTGTGTAATACTATAAAGTAATCTTAGTTTCTTCTGGAGTCTTTGAAAATGCTTTTTTCTAGTATTTTAAGTATGGAGTCCTGGTTTGCTTAGAAAAAAAAAATTAAGACAGTTTCAGTAAACAGAAATCACCTTATGTTTTGTTTGATATTGGTCATAGCCACATTTGATTAAGAAAGTGTCTTGCTGCTGGTAATGCAGATTTCATTGCTGAAAATGGTAGTAGAGTGTTGGACTTGGTATGGACCAGGAGTTAGAAGGGGACAAAATACGTATTTTGCCTATGAGGTGTCTTTTGGCTGGGCAGCAAGATTCTAGAGATAAAGGATTTCTAACGAATTGAAAGCTCAGTTCAGTGGAGTTCTCTTTTTTTTTTTTTTTTTTCCCCCCCTGTTCCTCTTCCTGTACCTACTGAGTTTGTAATTACTGCTAGCCTGTTGCCCTTGTTCTTTTATTCCAGTCTTCACTTGCTTCTTGAGGCTACTGCACAGTGTCAAGGGCAGAAAAGAGAAAGCATGTTCTAACTGTTTCATTTAGTATGTTGCAGAGTTCTTAGGTTCATTTATAAAGCCTTCCTTAAACTACAGCATCTGTCTACTTTCAGAGCTGTAGGCTAAATAGCACTGGTGGTTCAGTGGTGGGCCCAGGCTAACAGCTGTGCTGTGGCACAGGGCTCTATCTTAGTCCCACACGTGGACTTGTGCAAAGCATTTGACACTTGACATTGTCAAATTTGACATTTACTACTGTCCTGCATGACCTTGTTGTCTCAAATTTGGAGAGACGTGGGTTTGACATATGGACTACTTGGTTTATAAGGAATTGGCTGGATGGTCACACTCAAAGAGTTGTGGTCAATGGCTCCATGTCCAAGTGGAGAACAGTGATGAGTGACATCCCTCAGGGGTTGGTACTGGGGCCAGTGCTGTTTAACACCTTTGTTAATGACATGGACAGTGGGACTGAGTGCACACTCAGCAAATTTGCTGACAATGACCAAGCAGTTGACACTGGAGGGGAAGGGATGGGCCATCCAGAGGGACCTTCACAGGCTTGAGAGGTGTCTGGGGAAACCTCATGAAGTTCAACAAGACCAAGTGCAAGGTCCTGCACATGGTTTGGGGCAATCCCAGGCACAAATACAGGCTGGGTGATCAGTCGATTGAGAGCCGGCCTGTGAAGAAGGACCTGGGGATATTAGTGGATGGAAAACTGACTATGACCCAGCAATGTGCACTCACAGCCCAGAAAGCCAACCGTATCCTGGGCTGCATCAAGAGACATGTGGCCAGCAGGGTGAGGGAGGGGATTCTCTCCCTTTGCTCCACTCTCATGAGACCCCACCTGCAGTGCTGTGTCCAGCTCTGGGGGCACCAACATCAGAAGGACACGGAGCTGCTTGAGCAGGTCCAGAGGAGACCACAAAGATGACTGGGGGGCTGGAGCACCTCCCCTGTGAGGACAGGCTGAGAGAGTTGGGGTTGTTCAGCCTGGAGAAGAGAAGGCTCTGGGGAGACCTTATAGCAGCCTTCCAGTACTTAAAGGGGGCTACAGGAAAGATGGGGAGGGACTCTTTATCAGGGACTATAGTGATAGGATGACTGTTAACAGTTTCAAACCGAAAGAGGGTAGATATAGATCCAATGTAAGGAAGAAATTCTTCACTGTGAGGGTGGTGAGACACTGGCACAGGTTGCCCAGAGAAGCTGTGGGTGCCCCCTCCCTGGCAGTGTTCAAGGCCAGGTTGGACGGGGCTTTGGGCAACCTGGGCTAGTGGAAGGTGTCCCTCCCATGGCAGGGGGGTTGGAACTAGATGATCTTTAAGGTTCCTTCCAACCTAAACCAGTCTATGATCTTAGACCCAGCACTGATAGCCATCCTGCCTCTTGTGGTGCTAGCTATTACCTTATTTTTCTGACAACTTGGTAAGTCTGAATTCTTGCTCTCTCTTCATGTCTGGTCTTGCAATACCTGTTCTATTACAAGGCTGAACAATGAAAAATTTATCCTCTGCAGATGAAACAGTTCTCTGTAGGGCATGATTTACTAAAGATGTATATGCAAATAGTGTTTTACTGAAGAAAATTTTTGTGGAATAGTACTACCTAATTCCAAGAAAACGGATAAACTGTGAGGTGTCTGGAGTTTGGTTTATGGTTTTGTTATTTCTTGCCTATGCCCCCAGTTTTACTTTGACTAAGATGGCATGTGCTTTCTTGAAAGAAGGAAATACACATATTTATGGTATTATAATAATGCCTCTTCTGAATGCCATGGAAAATGTTTGTCTGCTTTGTAGCAAACTTGAACTAATTTTTTCTTAATGGGGACAGAGCACACTTTTACATATGCATATTTAGGAACCTGCAGGGCCCTTTAAAGCATGAATTATATTTATTTGAAGAAAATGGTTGTCTTTGGTAAAAGTGTCAGTAATGTAACATTGTATGTAACCTAAGTTACATATGCTGCTCCCAGATTCATTTGTAAATGTTTCCCATTCTTTTTTTAAAGGTATAGAGAAGACAAAGGAAAATAAACTAGGTGATAAGAATGCACATCTGAAAAATGAAAAGGCAAGGATATTTTAAGATTGAAGACCACTAAAAGCTGTCTTTTCATAGCAGGTTTGAAGTTGTTACAGTCTGGCTCTTTCATAACAAGCTTTGTCACAATATATTACATACACTTGGAGTTCAGATAACTTTCTTCTGTCACATTTTGCACTTAGCATCTATTTACCTATAAGAGTCTTCGCCTCACTTCTGTTATCTTTTTTTATAGGAAGTTAGTTGTTTGTGACAGATTGATCAGAAATAAATGAGGTTGCCACATTTAGGGTTACCAGGGTTTAAAAATGTTCTCACACCACTGTCACTGAACAATCACTAGTACGTAATCATGAAGTGAGCTGATTCATATGAAAAATTACTTTTGTATTAGGAAGCTTAATTTTTGCTTTAATCACCTCTCTGAATTTGGTTTGATGTGCCTGCCAGTGAGTGCCAGGACAAGAATGGGAATGGATAACTAGGGCAGCCCCAACTTGAGCTGTGATTGTAAGATCTATCGAGTTAACCAATGAGTTTCGGATATTGGAAGTTTACTCCTGTCCTAGCTGCAGATTTCACAGCCTTCCTTACTCTGACTCTCCATGTTGCACACTTCAGCAAGTCCATTCAGGTTGCTTAAGATGCAGAAAACTGATTTCTTTTATGGGGTGGGATAGTTGCCTACAAAATAAATTGGCTCATAGATAGACATAGATAGACCCTTTCTTGTGATGATGAAGTGCTAATTTTTACTCGAAGCATCTAGTGAAATTTTCCTGCATCTGTATAAGTTATGAAACTACATCCTGGGAGTTGTTTACTTTCAGCCATGTCATTATTTCTAGTAAAAGATCAGTTCTTCCTGGAAGCTGCTGCTTCTATTTGGCTAGTTGTAGTTCTAGCTGTATTATTCTGACTTGATAATTAAATTGCTTTGTTCTTACCTTTGAACCTTTAAAAGAGAATTGCTTATTCTTGATTCTATAATTACTTGAGTGTCCTCATTCAGATTCGACTGTGTTAAACAATAAAACCATTTGCAGTTTGACTCGAGAATGCACTTAAATAAATCAGTTGTCATTTTACAGCTCTTAAACATTTTGTCCTTCTGTGATACTATTTTTCCACTTCTGGCAACTTTTTTTCGATTAGCATTGCCAAAGTCCAAATAATTTGTCTTCATTCAGAACAACAACTGTTCATTTTGGTAGTAGCAAAAGCTTTTTCTGTTTACTTAGAAGCTGTTAATTTTACTTTTGCTGTAGAGTTGATCCTGTGAAGTATGATCTCAAGCAGTCTAAGCCTTTTTTTACCTTTTGACTCCATAGTTCTGAGCTTTGACAGTATGAGAACTGGGTTGAGAAGTACTGCAGAAAAGGAAAAAAAAAAAATTTGCTTTGTCATTCTGGCTTGCTCAATCAATACAGATTGAATAGAGATGGATGATATCCTTTGATCAGTTGAAACTGTTGTTTTGGGGAATGGATGGGAGCCCTGCACAGCAGTAACTTGTGGTTCTTTTGAAGTGAGAAGGCCTAAGTTATTGGAATGGTAATGACAGCAGAAGTATTGAAGGAGACTGGCTGTGCTACAAGAGCAGAAAATACAGTAATTAAGAGAGGCTTCAGTTACTTTTCAGTGGAGTGGGTGAAGGTTACACTTATGCATGATGCTGAGAAGACAACTGCTTTGTGGAACAGTTAGAGAACTCGCAAGAGAAACTGTTTTTTATTTGATTCTATGTGAGATCAGGTTCAAAATCTTACTGCTGAAAGATGCTCTGACAGAAACTATGATCTTTCCAAGGCATTAAAGCACAGATAAGTTGCTACAGGAATGTTTCATTTCAAAAAAGGAAATTACATCGAAATGAAAGAGTTTATTAAAAGAAAACATATGGAATTTCACTTCCAAAACCAAAACATTTGTGGCTAGTATGGGGATTTATTATAAACAGAATATTGGAGTTTTAAAACAAATACTAAAATCTGTCAGGAAAAAAAAAAGTATGGCTAAGTGACAGTATGAAGGAGACTACTAAAACATGTTATTATGCAAAAAGCTGAACTTACCAGAATTTTTATCCTTTTATAGTTGCCTCATTTGAATAAGTTAAATGTAAATACACAATAGTATAGTTCAAATAAACTTTGAGAAACAGCTTGCAAATTCATCACTAATAATACATCATTTTTTCAAATGCTTTGGGAGTCAAAAGCTTGCCAACTCCTGTAAGACCTTTTGATGATCAAGGTGTGAAGGACTATTGAGGGGAGATGCAACTCTTTGTAAATAGTTAAACACACAGTTACTCTAGGGAATCTTGGAAAGGTTGCCTATTGCCATTTCAGAGTCTTTGTTTATGAAATCAAGACAGAGGATCTATTTCAGCTGAAGACATTGTAGGATAAACTAGCAAAATAAACAGTAAGAAAATACTAGGGCCAGTAGCATACACACGAAATCAAGGATGAAGGAGTAGAATCATAACATGACCATGCAACTTCCTCCTTAGTGGTATTCAGTAGCATGCTGCTGTAAAAAGATCCAGGGACTATCTGAAGTAGGAGAGCTGCTCTGGACATAGTGGATTAAATAGAATAGAATGTAATATTTATACACCTGATAATACTTCTTCAGTGTGACTTTCATAGATATTTTTGTTATATCTTACAATCTTGTAAGTTGTTCAAAGAAACTAGTGGAGATCCAGTTGACTCAGTGTACTTGAATTTCCAAAGCAGTCATTATGATCACTTGCCAATAGTTCTTTAATAAACTAAGCTGTCTTGAGAAAAGTTCTGGGTACTGAACCTGAAGATGAAAATGAATGGTCACTTCTTTCTTCAAAGGTCGCTTATAACCTAGTCACTATGGAAGACAGGCTACTGGGCTAGATGCATCTTACGGTTGTTAATTTGCCATTTTTAGTGCTGTACTATTAGATTAAAAAACCCACTGGTGGTTTTGGATGTAAGCAATATAAATCAACAAAATAATCTTTACTGTTAAATACTTAAGTTTTGTTTTATGTTATGTGGTTCCCTTAAACTTTTGTTTTGTTAGTATCAACATTTTTTTAATAGAGCATCCCTTCCTTCAAAGCCGATTTAAATTAACTCATGTACTTTTATTCTTATTTCTCCTAATAAATTGAACGATTGGTTCACTTAAAAATTTTCAAATTTTTCTAGGAGATTCATGATTCCACAATTTCTTTATTAAAAACATCTGTCAGCCCTGAAAAAAGTACTGCTGGTCAGATAATCAGGACAGTACATATTGATGAAATGCTTTGCTGTCAAGATACCAAAATAGTGAGCTGTTACCAGGATTTAGACTTGACAACATGGGGATACAGAGAAAAAAATCTGTCAGTAGAGGCAAAAAACCTGAAGGATGGTGAAAAGAATAAAGCTAATCCCCTTAAAAGAAAGCAAAATGTGCCTGTGTGTTCAGAGAAAACAAGAAGACCGTCTATAAAGACCTACGCATCTTCATGTGAAAGAAGATACAACTGTACTTCTGGAAAAACAGAGTCTCCTGAAAATTGTCCTTATGATATCACGAGTCTGGGATGTGAAGAAAGAAGAGAATTGCTTGCAACTATAGAACAGGCAGTGGCTTTTGTAACTACTATGATATTTCAAGATGGTTCTTCACAGCTCAACTCGGAGCAGGTTAGTGAATGATGTGTTTTGTTTAGAGTTGGTTTTGAAGAACCATTTGAACTGTGCATGTGACTGTAAACACAAAAGCATGTTCATTGGGAGCCTAGAATCTGGACCAGTTTTGTGGATTGCTTACCAAAATATAAATGTAAAATGAGGTAAGCCTTTATACTTCTGACTAGATCTTATTTTTAGTTACCAAGTACAACTTAAAAACCCCAAAACAAAAAACACCTGCTTGGGCTAAACAGGCATTTGTATACTTAAAGTGAGACTGAATTAATGTTTTTTCTGCTTTTTACTGTCTGTCATTGGATGTTTGTTTCAAGGCTGAAATGCTTGCATGCTCCTCTGTGTCAGTGCTGTATGCAATAACTCTAGTGTACATAATAGGTTTCATATTGTAAAATATTTGGGAAATTTTCTTTATAGGATTGCATAAAATCTGTCGGAGGAAACACTATTGTAATTACACTTAACAGGTCCTAACCTCATCAGTAAAAGGAGTTGTTGTGTTAGTGAAGAATCAGACTGATCTTCTTTGCCCTCCCAGCTACCTACCAACTGACTATACTTGGAATGCTGCTAATGAAAATGACAAATTAATTTATTTAAAAGCTGAATGGTCATCTCTTTGGGAACAAGAACAGCAGGCTCACAAGAAATTTGCTTGGTGAGAGTACATAGGAATAAATACTGGTTTGCTTCATATATGCTTTTTAGCAACAGTGATGTTGGTTACATGGCACAGGCTTAAAGCTGATTGAATTTCCTATTAGCTGTATTAGTTCTGTGTCAAGCCTGGTATAACACAAATCAAAAAAGGATAGGCTGTTCCTTTGGGCTCAGCATATCACTAACTGCAGCTCTGCAGAAGTAGGTTGGGATTCTGGTAGAATCTGTTTACGTTCACCTAGAAATCCTTTATGAACAGCTTACAGCTATATGGCACCAAAAAATATGATTCATCCAGGTTTATCTTTCTTGTATCTATCTTCTATTGCCTCAACTACATTTCTTATCTAGTACATTTTTTATGGATGTTATTATGGTAAACCTCCTTTTTGAAATCTGCTAATATTTTTAATTTTTCAGGCACAATAGGCTTTTTAATCACTTTTGAGATCCCAAATGAAGTTTTCCTAATATTCAGTAATAATGGTACATCAAAATTACAGGATGATTTTTTTTAAGTAAATGCTTTATGTATCTGTTTAATAGTTGGACTAAATTTTTAGAAAGGTTGGATTGTTTTAAAATTCCAGATAATATAGCCAAAATCAATTTTTAATCCTTACTATTAACTCTGAAATAGCATCCCATAAAGGGAGAAATGAGAACTGAATCTGATTCTTAGATGTAATAGTTGCATGTTAAAACTTCATTAGAATATTTTATGACTTTCAGTAATAACTGCTTTATTGTAAACAGCTGAATTTGGGTTATTTAATTACAAAGCATTAATTTTCAAGATGTTGGACTTTGTTGTTAGTTGGATCTGCTGCTGCTTCACTGTGACTTGAAACATCATTTCACTTACCTATACTACTCCAGCTATAATACTGGAATTATATGGCAACTAGTTTAATAACTTGTTAGTTTGAATATAGGTGGTTCTGAATTGAGAACAACGTATCAATAAAGCATGTACATATGAACAGTAAAAACTGAATAATAAACAAGTTGAATAAGTGTATTAGCATTTAGGTGAAACCTATAGGTAATTATTAGTTGCGAGAATAGTGCTGTTACCTAATAGATCTAGATTGTATACAATAATACCTTATGATCTACACAATTTCTAATACATACAAAAACTTGATACTTTTGTTTCATGCCGCCAAAGATAAATAAACTTGAAAGCTCTATAAAAAATTATTTTCCTATATTGCCCAAAATAGATCTTATTACCCCACAAATAATTAGTAAAATTGGTATACTAATGTATATAATTGGTAAAATCTATTTAAAGTAGGATGGATGTGGAAACTATAGCCATTTTCAAAAGGAATGGAAAAATGTGACAAAGATGAAGCATTCTGGATTTAAATAGTGTCTTAACACTAGGCAATTATGGCAATTTAGATTGTCTAGTAACTTTTAAATCATTATTTAATGAATACTGTATTAACTCAGAAGCCTCTGTGATCTTATGTGGGTATATTAAAGTATTACAGGGATGCCAGTTGCTGTTTTGAATTAAAATTGCATTTAATTTTGAGTGTCAAATAAGGATTTGTTTTCTTTATGAATGCACGATAAGGCATATCTGCTAGGATATTTATTATGGAATAAAGCTTGAGGTATTATTGAATTGAGAATTTAATATTCAGATAATGTATTCTGTTCTTACAAGAATAAAGAAATGTCTTGTGTTAACTGTTTAGTATTAGGTACTAATTAAATCTCTAAATAGATTCACTAAATCTATTAGCAATATACTGTGTGTTAATGAACTACTTCTGTGCAGGCAAGTGTTGTTTCAAATGCTACATCGCAAAGTTCCGATTGTTTGCTTCAATGCAAAAGATTTCCTGAGGACTGTACTTCAAATTTTTGGTAATGAAATTAGCTGGAAACAAGGTAAATAATCTAAACTATGATCTAATCCTATAATCTCTGTGCTTTTGATGTTTCTGTTAAAATTGCTAGATTGGTGGTTAAGTAATATATTGGAAAACTGAGTTTTAGTACTGTGGAAAAAAAACAGCCCTTCTTGGGGGAGGTTGTGACCAGAGGCTTGGCATGTCGAGGTGATGTATTTCTTCTCAGGGTAGGAGTCAAATCATTGAATGATTTAAGGATAGCTTCCAGTGGAAACAAAAGCTCCCAACACAGTACTGACTATAGCTGAAAAGGTCACACTGCTTCTTGTTTCACGTTCCCTGGAAAAACTTTCTCTACTCAAGAGGAGAGACTAAAATAAATTCTAGAGGTGCTCATAGTTGTCAGAATTAGGCATCACTTGAATGGGTCCTTGTTATTTTGATAGGAACAAATAAGACTCCTTTGTATGGATTTAAAAGCAACTACAAAGAGAAGATACAAGATGTAAATATAATGAGTTTTTTTTTCTTGGTTCTTTGTATTGGATTTTGCTGAGAAAATTATGAAAATAAGTGTGACCTTTGAGGAAGGACTCCCTCTATGCAGTCTTCAGCTTGTGTTCAGCATCTGAAACATTTAATCAGTAAATCACAGTAAACTGGTGATGATTTAGATTCTGGTGTGAAGATCTACACAAAAGACAGCATTGGGAATGGGAAAGGGGGGGAGAAACATCATGATGGTACTGACACTAGTGACAGTTTTATAACCTGTGCACACAGGAAATACTAGATCTAGGTTAGATCCTATCTGATGCATAAGATTTGAATATGAAGTTTCTAGTATCCAAAAGAATTCCTGTCTAGGTTTTTTTTAAACTTTGGAAGTTGATTATTTCTGCTATGGTAGAAAAACTTAAACCAAAACCCCATAAAACCTCTGCCTTTTTAAAGGTAGAAAATCCCATCATTGTAAATCAATCAAACACTGAAATTTGTCTGTCGTATTGACAGCGATCACTTGAATGATTGCACTCATTCCCAAACTAGTGTACTAACCAGTGGAATACATTTGGATACATGAGCCCTGGCTAGTAAAATATGGCACTTTGTCATTGGGATTCACTAATGTTTTGGAGCAGGAGGAGGAAGGACTTGAGAACCATTTCACAGTCATGAGGAAAGTGTGTTTTTATCAGCACAGACTCTTCATCCCAGTTTGACCCTGTTTTTGCTTCATTCCTTTCAGCTTTGTTCTGTTTCAGTTCCATATGTGCTGCCTTCTCACCTTGAAGGGGTCATCCTTTTTTCAGGACTGAATTGGTGGCTATAACTCATCATTGTTACCCTCAACTTGGGTGAAAATTTTAGTTGGGGAGGCAGGGATGGATGAGTCAGTGGAGGATTTGATTCTTTATCCTTTTTCAGCTAGAGACTGTCTTGTGCTCATTGTAAATAGAGATATGAGAAAAGTATCCTTGAGGTATCTCAGAGACTATTTGGTAGCAGGATTCTCTTCTTCCATGTATCCTTGGTAAGATGTAGTTGTTATTATTAGAAAAATCAGTGTTTATTTCATGCAGTCTTCACATGAGCTTGTGAATGTCCAGCATCTCACTAGGCAGAGCCTTCCTGCAGCCTCTGGGCATTTTCCAGCAGCCATCAACTGTCAAGTGTTACTGCCCATCAGTGAGGCCAAGTTGCTTAGTCTGCCTTTTCACAGTGCATCATTTGAGTTCATGGCAAATGTGTCTGTTACAGTTGTCAAAGTTTCATTTAATCCCTGTAGAGATTACTTTCTGCTGAAAGAGCAGTGGAAATTCTGTGGATACATCCAAAGTTTGGTTTTGGAGTCGATGCAGAGTTTGACATACTTTCTTAAACGGTACAATTCCAAGGCTAAGAGTGTCCTTCCAATCGCAGAAAGACTTTTAGTGGTACTTTCAGGAGGGTATCCTTGAGACAATTTTTGAGGCTGTTTCTTAGCATCTGTTGGCTTTTGAGGTGAATAGCTGTTTGCAGTCAGAGAATAGGATAGTGAGCTACATAAAATCCTGGTGTCAGACCATGCAAATGAAGTACTTTTCAGTTATCTGGCCACTCCAGCAGAGCTCAAGCTGATTGAGGGGCAAGACATTTTCCCTAGCATCTGCTGAGCATCCTCATCAGGTTCTTTTCAGCAGCAGTGGTTTCTGTGGAGGTAAATAAGCCTGGTTCTCTTTAGAATAGTCTTGCAGCTGTAACTTGCATTATGGACATTTAAGTTTGCTTCCAGGTAACTGGGTCTTTAAAGTTGTGTGTCATGGAGTGCTCTATCAATGCACTTATGGGTTGGCATTTGAAGTTACTTAGGGGTTACTAAAGAAGATACTTACATCTATCTTTGAATATATCACAAAGCATTCTAGTTACTAGTTTCTCTCTGCTCTTCTTTGTAGTACTACAGTACATACATTGAGATTGTAGTTAAAAAGCTCCATCCTGTGTATCTACGTTTACATGAAAGTACAGTGCAAGCACATATGATCTTATAGGACAAAAAGTTCTGATTTTTGGGAACAGTGCATTATGCACCCATATGTGAATTCATATACACATTAAGGATCCCAGAATTCTGATTGCTAGGAAGTAAATCTTCTCTCCCCTGACACCCAAGAGCAATTTTGTGGATATCACTCAAGTTAACAGCAACAACAAAACTGTACCAGAGGGGGAGACAAGAAAAACTTCAATATGAAATTTTTCAGTGATAAGAGAGACCTTTACAGTGAATCTTGAGAACCAAAGGTTTACTCACATTTTAAAACCTGAAAAAAAGTAATGAAAATGCAACAAAAAAGCCACAAAAACCCTCTTCAAAAATATTCAATATTGAACTTCTATGTAGTCATGAAATTAACCATTTATTAGAGCTGTGAATTCAATATTTAACATTTTTATAGTGTAAATACTTGTCTATTTATAATGTATCTCTACAGGAAAGTGGGCAAAACTTTAGAGGTATTTCTTGGTATGGGAGGTAATTGAAATATTTTGATTGTCAGAAATAATTTATTTTTGTAGTTGCTGATAGTGTCGTGTTAGATCCAAGGATTGCAGCATGGCTGATAAACCCCAGCGACACAGTTCCCTCTTTTGAACGTTTAATACAGAAGTATTTTGAAAAGCCTTTTTCTATGGGAATTGTAAATAGAGATACCAGCACTTTGGGAAACACATCAGTAAGTAGTTTGTTTTAAGTTGTTTATGGTTGGGTTAAAAGGGGAAGGGAATGAAACAATTGCTTTTGCTTACAAAATACTGCAAAAAAAAAAATTATAGATAATGCTTTTCTAATGGAAGAAAATTATTTTATTACTGCCACTTGTTGGAAATCTGATTTTAAAGGGGGAAATTGAAGGGTTAACAGCATTCTACTGAGATGGGATCATATTCTCCAGGAACAGCTGTAAAATTCTGCTTCAAAACCAAAAAGTTCAGTAACAGTATTAATGTATGATCTGATCTTTTTTCTTTCCACCTCCCTGCAAACTGATTTTCAACTTTCCTTTTCAAAATGCCTAGTGCCTTGTTCTCTAATTCCTGTGAACTTGTAGCCTATATTTAGTTAATTGTAATTAACAATTTTGCTGAATCTCACAGCTGGTGGACACCACATCATAGGCTGAGGAACAGTAGGGAGTCAAATCTAAACCTTCAAGCATGTGTATGAAAAATCTGTGAGTTTTTATTCTCAGTAAGAGAAAATGTATGATGAACTTTTAAGTTATTTACAGCATTATAGAAATGTCTTACTGCCTGTTGAAACATTTACTGAATGTTACAGAGTTTGGTATTTGTATTTTGGGCCATGGTGATCTACTCTGCACACATTAGCTGTCAGAGGTAGTTTGAATTATAAAAATAGATATGCAGCAACCTAAATGATGGTGGTTTTGAAACCTTTTGCTTTTCAGAGGCCTTGCTTGTTCAGACACAAGTATCATAACATGATTATAGTGCTTCTAGGATACAAATCCACAGATGTCAAGTCGGCTTAGACCATGGGCAGAGGTCAGTTGTGTCAGCACATACCCATCAATGTAGACATTCCCGAGAAAAAACAGAGCCAGTTTACTTTAAAACACTAGCCGTAAACTGCAACTGTTCAGAAGCTACTTCACAAATTAAGCAATTAGAGTAGGGAATGGACAGGCAAACAGGCAGAAGCTATAAACTGTTGGTTATTTCTATATATGGTGTCCCCTCCTGTGACTCAGCATCCTTAATCTTCTCTGTTTCCTTAGCCTGACTCAGTCTTTTGTTCTTCATAGATCACACCTATTCTTAGTTATCATTTCTCAACTTTGTTATCCGGATTCCCATCTCTGAGTTCAATATTGAAGTCTTCCTTCCTTCCTGCCTTACTTCAGGTCTAGTTTGTTTCCTTGCCCCAGTCATGTCCAGTGCTTTTATGCCGACTTGTTCACCCAAGTCCCAGTTAATGCCTCCCTCTAACATCCTGTGATTATTCCCCCCATTCCTTATGCAATTAATTTGTTCCCTGGACTCTCCCAATTGCTTTTTGGCTCAGTGAGTCCCAGTTCTTCCTGTGAAACCTAGCTCTTTGCCAGATTTCTCTCTTCATCCTTCTTGTTCTGTCTTTAATGGTAGGTTCCTGACGGTTGTCTGCACTCCCAGAGGGATCCATGCTAGATGATATTTCCTGTTTTGTGCCCCACTACTTCAGTTAAGCTCCCTCTGTATTGTGCTAGTTTTGTCCACCTGGCATAGTGCTTGGAATGACTGCTATTTTACTCTGAGGCCCTCTACAAGGAACCAAGCCCTTGCCATACACCTCTTAGTATAGAATATGTGCTACTTGTTCCCTGTCTGTATATTTGATGCTGTTCCAAAAGGCTCAGTAAAAGGGGTCGTAGTCCATAGATCTTGAAACTTTATTGAAACAGGTGCTAAAATTGTTCTTGTCATTGCTTCATTTGCTGATGAGTGATCTTGGTGTCAGTTGAAGCCTGTCACTGGGCATACTTCCACCTCCAGAATGGGATCAAGTTGTCTGCTGAAAGCGTAGTATTTCATAGACAGCTCTTTTGTTCCAGAACCAGTGGGTATGGACTGTCTTCTTGGGGACAGGCTGATGGCTTTTCACTGGAGTATGGGCCTGCTTAAATTAATCTGTTTGGGGTAGAGAGAAGCCCTCACTGATGGGACTAGACTATTATAAAACAAGGATGACCACCAGTGGGTCTAGATATTTCAGCTTTGAAGAGAGCCTTCTCATCCTGCCTTCAAGGGCCTACTGTTTCTCAGTCTTGCAGTGCTCAAGTCTGCTGTAGGCTGAGGGGAGGCCTGTACAGTAGATAACCATATTGTCTACTCACAGATGACCAACACTAACAGTGCTGAAGTTGTATAGACTAATATACATCTGCCCTTGAGCAGATTGGGAACTTGCATGTGCTGTCAGTGGAATTCATTATCCCATTTTAACTCTTTCCTGCTGCTGGGGCTTTGCTGGGACAAAATTCCCACTAACAAACATCAGCTTATGCAGAATCTGTTTAATTTTATCTGCTGTTATCTTGAGTCATGTGGTCATTTCAAGATAAAAACAATCATGGTCTAGGCTCAAGCATGTTCTGAATGACTGCAACACTAGTGCCCCTTTTTTATGGTATATGGCAGGAAAATGTGTCTACAGCAAAGATTATCCAAAAACTCAGGTAATTCTGTTTTAGCATGAAACATAACTTCTTGTAACTACTAGGTGTCTCCGACGCTTCTGTTATCCTCGGCACTTCTTTTAAAAATTAGTTGGACCAGTATAATACAGTTCCTGTGATGGTTCTTCCCCAGCTGTGTACCAGAATGCAGGCCTCTGTAGCAATAATGTGTTATAATTTGTCTTAATAAACTAATTTTCAGTCAGTTCTGGTTCTATTGTGTTTGTTCAGCAACAAGTAATTTGGATTCCTTCTGCATTCTGTTTGGATTGAATAATGGATGAAGCATTGCTCTTGTCAGTCTGCATCTGCTATAATGCTTTGGTTCCAGACTTCTGTTTTTCTTCAAATAATGGGGCTTGTTTTACAAACAGTAGGCCAAAATCGTGAGTTTTGTGTACAAGGCAGGTTTTTATACACTGTTTGGAGGATGGATTATGTTTACCTGTTGATTTACAGCTGACTTTTACACTGAGAGGTGTTATGGCTTAACCCCAGCTGGCAACTGAGCCCCATGTAGCTGCTCACTCACTCCCCCCAGTGGGATGGGGGATAGAATGAGAAGGGTGAAAGTAAGAAAACTTGTGGATAGAGATAAAGTCAGTTTAATAGGTGAAACAAAAGCCATGTGTGCAAGCAAACCAAGAAATTAATTCAATTCTTCCCATCGGCAGGCCAGGGGTTCAGCCATCTGCAGGCATGCCAGGCTCCCTCATGTGTAACAGGTACTTGGGAAGACAAACACCATCGCTCCAAATGTCCCCCCTTCCTCATTCCCACAGGTTTATATGCTGAGCATGATGTCATATGGTGTGGGATACCCCTTGGGTCAGCTGTCCCAGCTGTGCACCCCCAGACTACTGACTGGTGGGGAGGGGTGAGAGGCAGAAAAAGCCTTGACTCTGTCAGCACTACTCAACAGTATCTAAAACATCCCTGTGTTATCAACACTGTTTCCAGCACAAATCCAAACCATAGCCCCATACCAACTACTATGAAGAAAATTAACTCTATCCCAACCAAAGCCAACACGTGAGGGCACAGGATCAAGTATTTAGATGTGCTGGTGTCTCAGTCCATGCCTACCCTCACTCTCTAGAAACGCAACCAGGAGCTTCTGAGAGTCATCCTGAAGACAAGGGGTAGATAGTGGAATCTAACTCAGGGAGCAATTCCTGCAAAAGACCCTGTTCAGGTGGAAAAGGGTGTCCAGAGATACCTTCTCTCAAACTTAAAGGGTTCTTACCTCCATGAAGAGAGAGTAGGATCCTCCACCATCCATTAATCTTTATATGAATATAATTTTTTAATTTTAGAAAAATCCTTAATTTGGACATCTGTTCAGGTTATATAGACCCTCCTTTAGAAAGGATTTTTAAGATTTCCCAACCACTTTGATTAATTTTACCCGCTTTTGCTTCAAAATAACTACTGTTCTATCTGGAGACATTAAAAGCTCTAAAGGATCATAGTATACTGGTATCAGGGCCGTTGTTAAGAAAATATTCTTGGAAACTATTTCAGTGGCAATCTTTCTGGTTTAGTCCATAATTCATAGTTTAATGACATCCAGTTTAGTAGAGTGGTATCACATTACATCACTCTTCCAGATGATAGAATTGTGGTCTTGTTCTTTACAAAATACTAGGTGTTTCATTCAAATGGAAGCATTGTCTTAATTTTCTATACTATCTTAGAGGATAGTGTAAATCTGATAACAAGTAGAAACATCCTTTCTTTCCTTCTCATCACAGAAGGACCAAAGGAAAGATTCTGAATATATCAAATAAACCCCATGAAACTGTGCAATGGGCAGCAAATTCAGATTTGGTAGCATGATTTCTGAGAACTTACTCTGTTAAGGAAAATGCTTTCTAGCTCAGTTTGAGTGGAGAAAGTAGAATGTGTTTGTTTTGGAGCAGATTTCTTCTCCCAACTGTAGGTATTTCATGAGACCAGTAAGGTGAGAAACCTGTAGAATAGGAGCAGGTCTGTAGAGGAAAGAGAGGCTTCTGCAGATCATAGCATGAGAGCCCCTCGTAGTGATTCTGTTTATAAAAACTGTTGTGTTCTCCTCCTTCATATTCTTCTAAACTAAATAAACCTTATTAATCTCTTTCTCTGTAAGTCAGGTTTTCTAAGCTGACTATTATTTTTGGTTCTCTTATCAGCCTATCTGATATTTCTTGATGTCTTTCATAAAGTATTATGGCCAAGTTGCCCCCATACTTCAGCTATATCATCATAAGTATTTATTAACATAGAGTAAATGCCTCTTTTTACCCAAACAACTCTTAGCTTAGTTTCACTTTTACATAAAAAAAACAAGAACTATCATAACATGTCATAATGAATTCCACATAATCTGTTGTCCTGCTTCCAGCAGAGACCAGTATGTGATTCTTGGGGAAGAGATATGGACAGGCAAGTGCATAACTTTAGTCCTGTGGAATGCTGTCCTAGGTTCTATGATTTGTGGCCAGGAATTTTACAGGGCAGTGCTAGCATTTTTGCACTTAATGCCTTGGATGTAAATTTATTCCATAATTTTGGTTGTTCAGCTGTCATTGAAGATACAGGCTGAAGGAAAGAAAATCTACATCTGCAGCATTTCTCTCATTCCTATCTTTCCTCGCAGGAATTTATCAATTGTTAACATTTTGTGTATTAGCTTGATAAATGTAATAGGTTGATATTAAGTTTATTTTAAGTGGCTGTGTTCTTGGAGCTAACAATCATATTGTCAGTGTCTGTATGCATTTCAAAATGGTCTTCTATCCACCTGAATGTGGTGATATGCTCTGTGCAGAATATCTCTGGAACAGAAGGGAAGGAACTGAATAGTTCAGGCACAGAAGAGTGGCAGTACTGATAGGAGATAGTAAATTGCAAGGAATTTTTTCTCATTTTACAAGTAGTAATAAAATTCTGACGCCAATGTCAAAAGCATTGATTGTAGTGATACTATTTCTCCATGCTTGGTCTGTACAAAATGTAAATAAAGGAACAGGTGAAATCTTGAATATTCAGGATCTGTACTGCTCTGTTCATGAATTGTGTTTGTCAGAGGTCTAAGAACATTGCTAAAATGTTAAATATAACAGGAGAGATACAGAAAAATATGTTGTTTAATCCCTTTTAAAATAGCATTTTAAATATTTTTAAGCTGGCATTAAAACTATTGGTGTTTTTAAAATTTATATTAGGATCAAAACATAGGTGTCAACTTGGAGAAGCTTTATAATGTGATGATGGACCTTGTTCATGATTTACAGGTAAGATATAAAAAGTAGTTAGATATAACTATAATGAATTGAAGAGAGTTAGTGATGTGTTTCTCATTCAAATCAGAATCTCTGCTGGAGTTAAACAGAAAGCTCCAGTCCTTACTGGTGTATAGTGCTAGTCAACATTTAAAATAAAGTTGCCTATCAAATTTGTCATTTTTTTTCCAGAAGATGAAAATGGTTAGTCTCAAGGTTAATCTTCAGAAGAAACTTCTCCTCTGCAACAGTCAACTAAATATTTAAATGAAGATTCTAAGAAAGGGAAATGTTTGGAGTATTGTGACCTTTTGGTATCTTTAAGCTATATGAAACAGTCTAAAAAGTGTTAAGAGTTAGAACAGAGTGTAGCTGGATTTTTTTTGATGCATTGCTTGGGTACAAAAACTCTCAGCATATCTTTTGCTCTAGGTTGTTTTAGCCTGACACTGGTCAAACGCTGAAACAGGCTTCCTAGAGAGGTGGTCAATGCCTCAATCCTGTCAAATGTTTAAGAGCTACTAGGACAATCCTGTAACTTTTGGTCAGCCCTGAAGTGTCTAGGAAGTTGGACTAGATGATTGTTGTAGGTCTCTTCCAAGTGAACTATTTTATTCCATTTTAGCCTTTATTACAGTTCAGAATGCATCTCAGGAAGTCTTTTAATGTTTTTTGTGTGTGTGTTTGTTTTCTCCCTGTAATCATATACCTGGAAAAGTGTCACAATTTAGGGATATCCTCAGGTTCTGGTGGAAGGTATGTTGTAGAGTTCTAGGGGTTTTGAAATTGATGGTATCAAGTGTAGGTCTTAAAGCATTAGTTGATGAAGCCATATTAATCTGGATTTCTAAGCAGCCAGCAATATGATGAAACAATCTGTGAAGGCAGGCAACAGGGAAACACCAAAGGCACAGAAGTACCAAAGACACAGAAACACTGAGCGCCAGCCTATAGGAGGAGTTTTTAGACAAGTACTGTTGTCCAATTACTTCAGTGGTTGAAGAAAAAACAGGCCTCCTGTTCTTTGATAGGGTCATGTTGGGTACATGACCCTATCATCTTTTATTTTCTTCCTAATGAAAATAAAGTTATGAATTCTAAATGGTTGCTTAATTGTTCAAGTGAATAAAGAAAAAGGGGTAACTGATGTTCTATTACAGTGGAACTTGCTCTAAAAATAAACCATTTGGAAAAATGGGGTATGTGTATTTCTTTATTACTATTCCTGTACAAAATGATTACTATTAAAAAATGTATTGCTGTTCCCCTCAAAATGAAGTGATAATGGGCTACAGTATTTAGATACTATAATTCACACTAAGTAGTATTTCATTCCACAGACAGTGTTGTCGTGTAAAAAGGGATTATACAGAAAGTTAAATACTGCTTACTGGAAATCAGATCCACATAGTGACAATATTGTATGCTTTAAGATTAAAATTGGCTGGTACTGAAGAATTTATTTGTATCTTGCTTTACAGGTTCAAGGTTTGTGGAAATTATTTTGCACATTAGAGCTTCCACTTATCAAAATTCTGGCAGGTATGAAAGTTCACTTCAAAATATGAATCTTCACTGTTTTTACACAGCTGCTGACTACGCTCAAGTAGAATGTTATACCTCAGAATAGTAAATGTTATTTTAGCCTCATAACAGCTGTGTGAGTTTAAGTTTCCATTTTACAGTCTAAGAAGCATATAAATCGAAATTGTCAGTTGTAAGTGTTCTCAGCATATAATTGTATTTACAGTGATGGAAACACACAAAATACATGTGAACAAACAAGAACTGAAAAAAACATCAGAGATTCTGGGGGTAAACTTTGTCTTTATTTTTTCTTTTGGAAATTGTATAGCGTTTTGCTTTTACTGAGGATAACTGATTAAAAAGATGAGGAATCTTTTTGCTTTGTTGTGTTTTACATGACAGTTTGGAGTTTCTTTTATTATGATTATTATAATAAATATAACTAATGATATTTTCATTTTAGAATACTTCCATGTTTATTTAGGCAAGCAAAAAGACTTCTGCTTCATTAGCCTTGCCTCAGAACTGAGATTGCTTTGCAAAATTCACAGTCGGTTTAGGTTATGTGTTGTAGAGTAAAAATTGTAATGGCTCTTTCTGAACCTACAGTTATCAGTAATAATATTCCTGAGAAGTGATAGATATTTCTCTCTCTCTTTGTAAATAAAACACTCTACAACTTACATGTTCTGAGAGTTCTAAATTTGCCATTTCCCCATGGATAAAAATAGCTGCAAGAGGATACTATTTTGTAGCATAAAATCTGACTAGATAATCATAATGGTCTGACAGATTATTAATTTATCATAATAATTTGCATATCTCTGTTTGTCACACATCTCTATAGTCTTCAGTAACATAATTTATTTTCCCACAAATTTTGGTACTTTTTACTACAGTAAAACCCATTCCCAGAGCATGAAGAAATACAGGTTAAAGAGTATATAACCAATCTACTAAACCAAATGTTGATAGCCAGCAATGATTACGCATTATCAAGTACCCTATCTTTAGCTAGAAGTCCAGTATACCTGTTAACCTAGGAAGTAGGAGATACTGAAGAAAATTATAATATAAACAGAATAATTCTGATGTACTGATTTATAGTTGCGACTCAAAGAGCTTGAACAGGAAGCTCATCAGGTTGCTGGAGAACGATTCCTTTTGACCAGCAGCAGTCAACTCAGAGAGGTAATATTTATGCTCCTATTATTATATAAGTTGTAAATTCTGTGTTATTGATACAGAAGAATTATAAAGCATACAAAATTGTCCTTACAACTTCAGAATATTTTTCTTCGATATTAATTATCTATTTTTCTTATTTTAACAGGGGATATATCAGTTTTTCATAAATCTAGCAATGTGGGATAATCTGTATTGGAACATATTTACATAAATTATGCATATTATTTTAGTAAACACACTACTTTTTCAATAGCTCAAAATAAAGATCTGATCCTTTCAATTCTGAGTTAGATTTCTTTTCTGCAGTATGCTCTGTTTTCCTTGAAATCTGTTTTCTAGACTTAAGGTCAGGCACCAAATAATTTTCCTTTCTGTTTCAGCACTTGAAACACTGAAAACTCTTATGTGTTTTTTCTTACTATAGGTACTATTTGAAAAGTTAAAACTGCATGCACTGTGTGAGAAAGTTCACAGAACTGAAATACAGCAACTTGTGTCCACCTCAGAAGTTGTGGTAAGATGGGGAAGGGTTTTAAAACCATCTGCATGATTTAGGAAAACTTCTAAGTTATATTCCAGTGAAATTGTTATTTGTTTAAAGTTTTCCTAACAATCTTGATTTATTTTTGTGTTGTACTAATCACATTTCATTTACTTATGCCAGAAATTAAAGTTGCAGCCCATGATGGGGAAAACCAAACTAGCTACTAAAGATAACTTTAGCTATAAACCAGGGTTAAAAACTTTAGCACCAACATGCATGTATGACCGTGTTCCTCAAAGGAGGGAGTCTTTCTTACTGGTCAGATTTTGGTGGCTCGATATGACTGACTGATTGGGTGATAGAGACCAGTGGTGAAAGAAAACAACATTAATGTAAAATCTGTTGGTGAAGGAAATAGCAATCCAGACTCTCTCTTTGCCATCAGGAGACTTGGGCTAAAAACATGTTGTCATCTTCTTAGAACATTTAATTCATTTATTCATGCTAGGTAGAGAGGCATGTAGGAAATTATTTGATATCTGTGGTTTGAATTGAGAGTTGTCACTTTTTTTGTATAGTCCAGTGTTTTACTTGTGTACCTGAATTTTCCTCAGGCTTTTTTTTTTCCCCTCTGTGGAGATGCTTGTCTTCAGTAAGAGCTGTTGCATTTGAAGTCAGATCTGCAGGATCTTGATAGAATCTTGTTCCTTTAGAGCAATAATAACCAAACAGTTTAGATAATTTGATATACCTATACAAGAGATCAAATCTACCTTCAGATTCAGTGCAATAATATTATGTATATGAACATTCTCCAGTTCTTTCTTCTGTTAGTGTTGGAGCAGATAATTTTCAGCAATACAGATGTTCATTTATGATCACACACAAGTGCAGATACCTGTTAAAAACATTTGTCTCAAATCGATGAAGTCAGGACCAAACTGCAGACTTCTTGGTAACTTGAGGCAAATGTGGATGCCTCTTCCTTTTCACAGACTCACAGAATTATTTAAGATGGAAAAGACCTTTAGAATCATTGAGTCCAACCGTTAACCTAACACAGACAAGTTCACCACTAAACCATGTCCTTAAGTGTCACATCTACACATCTTTTAAATACCTCCAGGGATGGAGACTCAACCACTTTCCCAGGCAGCCTGTTCCAGTGCTTGACAACCCTTTCAGTGAAGAAATTTTTCCTAATATCCAATCTAAAACTCCCCTGGCACAACCTGAGGCTGTTTCCACTTGCCCTATTGCTCATTACTTAGGAGAAGAGACTGACACTGATCTCGCTACAACCTCCTTTCAAGTAACTGTAGAGAGCAGTAAGGTCTCCTCTCAGCCTCCTTTTTCTTCAGACTAAACCACCCCAGTTCCCTCAGCCACTCCTCACAGGACTTGTGTTCTAGACCCTTCACCAGTTTCACTGCTCTTCTTTGGACATGCTCCAGCACCTCAATGTCTTGTAGTGAGGGGCCCAAAACTGAACACAGGAATTGAGTGCAGAGTGCAAGGGGGATGATCACTTCTCTAGTCTTGCTGGCCACACTATTTCTGATACAAGCCAGGATGCCATTGGCCTTCTTGACCACCTGGACACACTACTGGATCATATTCAGCCAGCTCTTGACCAACACCTCCAGGTCCTTTTCTGTCAGGCAGCTTTCCAGGCACTCCTCCCCAAGCCTGTAGCATTGCATGCGGTTGTTGTGACTCAAATACAGGACCTGGCACTTGGACTTTTTGAGGCTCATACAATCGGCCCTGGCTCATCGATCCAGCCTGTCCAGGTCCCTCTGTAGAGCCTTTCTGCCCTCAAGCAGATTAACACTGCACTCAGTGTCATCTGCAAATTTACTGAGGGTGCACTTGATCACCTTATCCAGATCATTAATGGATTATTTTGTTAAGATAATAACAGTAATTGAATTTCTCCTTAGAGAAGAATCCTCTGTGTGGCTGCACCTGTTTCTGATTTGGTGCCACAATTGTATTGCTCTAGTTTACATGGGACTCACACCATTGCTGAGAATGAACACCTCTGGGTAAGGTAGAAAAGTAGTATTTGTTTCTCATGTGTGAAAGAGGAAATTCAACTTTTGGACCAAGTGGCTGAACTACCGGATATGATTTTTGAGGTGAAGTCAACAGTATAACCATAAAACCCACACACAACTCAAGGAGAAGAAGGTTTCATAGATCAAATATGTAATCTTGGACAGTGACAGAGAGCCTTGGGAGATGGGAGGGATCAGTGGCATAAAATGCATTTCATCTTTTTGTGGGAGCATAAGACTTGTTGCAGTAATCAAAGCAATGCTTTCATTTAGTCCAGTGCTCTCTTTTCAACAACTGCTGAGACTTGGTTATTTAGAGAAAGGTAGGCTGAAACCTTCCAATAGATAAGTACTACATAATTAATTAATCTTTTCATGGTAGCAAGAAAAAAACTTATGCTTTTAAATGTCCATTATTGTACAGTTGCATCTATTTTTTACACCGAACTGTTGTAGTTCCAGATATTTTTGTTGTACTTATAAATATGCAATCTCTATTTTAATAATTTCATTCTTAACAATTTTTTATGGCAATTTACAGTCATAGTGATTTGAAATATGCTTTATTTTATTGCTTTTGAATTTTACAATTTCAGTTTTTCTTGAAGGTCCCCTGGAACTTGTATTAGGGGACAAACAGAAGAAATTCTCCTGTCGGGTTTTTTGTGTGTGTATAAATATGTATGTGTATGTATATGTATTACTTTGTATACTTTTATCATGTTCTCTCTTGCAATGATGCTGTCTAGCACAAAAAATAAAGGACCATAAGTAGCTCCCCACCCTATGCCCGAGCATTTTCAAAGTTGTTGTGGAATAGTTTTTATGCCTCCATGTTTTTTGTCCCTGTCTGGAACAGGAAGGGAAATGAACTGGGAGAATGTAATATCCAGCCCTCCTGCTGAAAGCAGGAAGGAAGGCTTACTTGGGCCTAGGGTGAGACTGCTTGAGGGACACAATTCTTTTAGTATATTGTCCATTCAGCTTGTTGGGAAAATTTCTTTCTCCAAAACTTACTGTGTTAAGATGTTAAATAATGTAACTTAACAATAAAGTTTACCAGTAATTCATATTCTTTATTTTGCAGCTAAATAAGTTGCAAGATCTTCATCCTTTGCCTAAAATAATTTTAGAATACCGTCAGGTGAGCTGATATTTTTCACATAATGTAGTTTCACTGAAGCAAAATTAGCAAGAAAGATAACATATTCACAGCTAAATAAATAAAAAGTTGTCTCTAATGTAAATTCATTCAAATTCTCATTTAAATTTTGATGTAGGTTTTCTTAAGAGTTTTTAAATTTAATGTTATACTTCTGTTTTGCACTGTTAGTTTATAGCTAGCAAACAACTATTGCAAAAACAACTGGAAAACTTTGCTGTTAAATATGTCTAGTGCTATAAAGCACACTTGTAGAGCAAAACATTTATTTTTGAGTTCTGAAGAAATATTCTGCAGAAAGTGAAGGAGATAACTAGTTAGGGGGTTTTTAGGTGATGAGCCTCCTGAAAATCCAAATGACCTACTTAGTCTGCTCTCACACTTTAATGTTTGAGTTTTCAGTGGATGAGTTTCCAAGATCTAAAACCAAAAAAAGTGGCTGGGGGTTATTTTTGTGGGCATGTGGTTTTTTGTGTCGTTTATTGACCTGGGGATATAAAATGTAAAAGAATAAATTCCAACTTGCTAATATCTGCAAAGACTTGGCTTTAGGGTATAACCAAGCACTTACCTAACTTATGCTGACAGATCAAGCTATTAGTGAGTATACATCCATTATTTACTAAGATAAAAGTGTCTTTTAAAAAAAGTCTACAAAACAAGTTAATATGCATTTGGAAATTGAAATCTTTAATTTGAAAATTTCTTAGTTTTATAAATAAGCATTTATCTAAACTTTTATCTAATTTAGGTTCATAAGATGAAGTCAACTTATGTGGATGGACTACGAACGTGCATGAGAAAGGTAGAAATACAAAAAGTAGTCTGTAATATATGGTATTTAAAATAAATAATAAAAAGATGTGAAATGATGGCAGGGTTTAAGAACTTTATGAAAAATTATAGAAGTGTTTATTTTTTATTTTGTAGTCCTGGTTGCAGTGAGTTTTTACTATTGATACTTACATTCAACAAAATTTAGATATATGTCTTCATCCTTTTATTTTGGGGGATTTTTACTTGACTACAGGGATTTATTTCCTCTACATGGAATCAGACAGGAACTGTGACTGGCAGACTTTCAGCCAAACATCCAGTAAGTGAGCCTATTAGAAGACTTACATTTTAATTAGAATTTTAAAATAATATTATTTATATTCTTTATATGAAATACGTAGTATTTTTAACATCAATGAAATGTTCATTTTCATCTAAGTATAGCAGTTGCCATATTTTATGTAAATGGTGGACAGAAAAAGCTTATTAAATGGGCGTTTTGCTGTAGAACATTTATTCTTATGAATATTTTCTGTTATCTTTGGATCAGAATTTAATATTATTACCTGAAGTTTACCTGAAGCAGAGGGATAGAATTGTGAGCCAGGCATGGACCCTCTAGACTTCCACTGAATACTTCTTAGTAATGAATTCCTGGTGTTTATCAGCCACTCCTTGTAAAGGGTTGGTGAGATCTGGAAGGTACCCTGGGTTTTATGGGAAAAAAAAAAAAAAAAAAAAAAAAAAGCTCTTTTCCTCTGGAATTTGGCTTCAGGCCTCTTAGCAGTGAAGAGCTAAACTAGTCATGCTGTTGCTTTGAAAGTCTTGCCAGAAGCTTACATGTCTGAGACACTTGGGTTCTTTGTGCTTCCTCTCTTGTCTTCAGCTATAGTGATCTCCATGTACATGCTTGTGGCTGGAATGTGTTTTATTTGACTTTCTGGACTGCTTGAGGCTTGGTTGGGGTTTTTATTGTCAAAGTGGCCCTTTTAAGGGCATATTTTAATATGTTTTATTATATATTTTTATTTGGAGTTTAGGAAGCATACTGGCCTTTGATGGTAGGGACTGGTGAGACCTTTTGTGTTCCACTACTCTCGCAGCCCATGGTTGCATAGCTGAGTGTACAGGACCTGCTGTGGGAGGAAACAGGACTGCAGACTGCTTCAGGGGCTCAAGGCATAGGCAGGAGAATAGCAGTAGAAAAGAGTCACTGCCTACCTGCCGAAATCTTCTGTTTGGTTTAATCGTGGCCTTTCTTAGCAAAGACCTGACCCCTGGCCCTGTGGGAGGGAGGGAATAGATGCAGAACTGAGACTTGGCTCATGAAGGCTAGAGGGAATCCACAAGGCTGTTGTCCTTCTAACTTGTCCCCAAAAGTATTGTCAGTTCTTAACCATGCAAATTTTGGTACTGCTTAGCCTTAAACTTCATGGGTACAAATGGCATTAGAAGCTTTCTGTAGTCTTGGGAGAAAGGCCATGGTCTTCCACAGTTCTATCTAGGAGTAAAGCTGTTAGACATAACAGTTATGTTGTGACCATTTCGCAGGGGTGAGCTCAGATGGCTCCCTGCAAGTCCTGACTGGTATGGTGACATTGAGAGTTCTGGCAGAAACCTGTCCTGGGAGGTTCTCATCCTCACAATACTGGTGACTTCCTTAGCTCTTCTTTTACCTGTCTTCACATGTTGTGTTTCATTTATGTCTTCCTACCCTCATGGTACTTATTTCCATACGATCTCTCATCAAACAATTTATAGGAAGTGCTTGTGATTTACTGAGTAAAAACCAGCGTCTAGATTCTGAGTTAACAATGGAATGGAGGAGTGTTACTGCTGCTCCCACTTCTCATACACCCAGATGGGGGAAAGTGATGGGAGAGAATAGGAAAGATGATCATGAAGGTCACAGTTTGCTAAATATTCTGATGTGATGCACAGGAATTTACGAGTCAGAGCTGAACAGACATCTGCCTTGAACAATCACATACAACACAAGGTGACCTTGCCCCATCATGCTAAAAATGACACAAAATCTATTTTTCTTAAAGGTTGTTTTTCTCAAAAAGAATACTGCTAAAGTTAGCATCCAGGGTTGCCTAAGGCTGGCTTTTCCTTATAAGGAAAAATATTGGCATGCCTTTTTTTGTGTGAGATGTTTATGGAATTTATACCATCTGTTTCTGAATCATTTATTGATACAGAAGATATACTGCAGTGCCCAGTTACTTTACTAAGTGTTAAAGGATTAGAAAGATTCATGCCAGAAATCATAAATATTGTAGATATTTTTGCAGTTACTATGATGTTATGTCAAATTTTAGCTGAATATTTGCTGAGGTATTTTATTTTAACTGTGTTTTGAAATGCTTTGAGGAGTGATTGAAGCAAAATATAACTTTAAATCACATAAAGTGAGAAGACAAATAGAAAAAGCATCCCATTTGCTGCAGTGATTGTGGGAGATGGGTTCCAAACAAAGGTTTCTTTATCTTTCATTTGTTTTGTAAAGGTAATGAATCTATCTGTCCTCTTTCCTTTAAGGCGTTAAATAGAGTCCGGGATTTACTCTCATAGGTTTAAGGGGAAATGACCAGACATTAGGTACAGAGCAGCACTTATTTTTCAGATAAACTGTTCTGTCATCTTCTTTAAGACAAAGTCACATCTGATGTATGGATGATATATATTTTTAGCTTTATGTGGGTTTCTCTCAATAGATAAGCTTATTCACATGAATTTTTATTACTTCCGTGTTGCAGCAATTTAGAGGGGATTTCTTGGTATAACTTCAGTGGCTCTCCATGTATACATCTATTTTAGTTTAACTCTGCACTCCATTTCTTCTCATTTGGTTTGTTGTTCTACAATATGTGTGATGCATAATTAATGCATTTTTCACAAATAATGAAGTATTATATAATAATATAGTACATCATTAAACAGGGACACATTTGGTATTGTAGTCTCCTGCTATAGCATTGTAACTGTCTATTTGCTACTCCATGAGAATCTGCATAGCTGAAACCTAAACAATGTAAAACCTAAAATTCTCAGTCAAGTTATTTTGTAATATATCCATAGGCTAGTTATTTTTTCCACTCTGTGATGGATTGCTTATGAGTATTAGGGGAAGTTAATTAGGTTTATTATTTGAATATGTTATTTTAAATTATTTTTTGTATAAATATACTAGTCTTGTCTCCATTAGAAAACTCCTTTATTATATTGCTCATAGATAACTTTCCTATTAAATATATTTATTACATTTCCAAGGACCTAGTTTATGTTTTCCAAATGTACCTTGAAATACCACTTTCTAGCTTCTCACCCTTTACAGCAAAAGTAAGTCATGACAGAGGTAGAAAGACATAAAGCCAATTAAGATTAAGCCTCTTTCAGAATGAACAGAGAGAAAACCAAACTTGAGATGTAAAGATTGCATGTAATTGAATGTTATAATTTGGTTTAAGATGTAAACTTCAGTGCTAGAATCAGATATTTTGTATTAAGGTTTCTTTCCTCCAGGCTTCTGCAGCAGAGAGAACTGAAATGCTACTAATGAGTTTACACTTCTATACTTCTGAAGATGTTGGTATCATCAAACTAAAAAGCATAAAGTGGTGGGCTTCAGGGGGATTTTCCTTCCTTTTAGTAACAAAAAGTTATGCTGAAGATAAATACAATTTTTTGATTTACCAGACCAAGTGAAAAAAAAATAAAAGGTTTCCTATTACTCCCCAGGAAAAATTTTTTTACCAGCTTGTCCAAAAAGGCAAAGAAATAAAATAATTTAACCTGTCAATCAAAGAAGCACATTAACCTTTAATGTCGAAGCAGGAATGTAATTTGAAAGAGAAATTAATTAGGGTATGTTAAATGTTAATGTGGTCAAAGAAGGACCATAAAAAAATCTGAAATATTGAATATACCTCAGTCTCTCCAACAGATAAAACTAATATGTTCTGATAGTGAATGCATGACAGAGAATTGCATGCTTGTTTATTAGAAAATGTGTGTTACTAATAGTGCTTGGATTATGAATAATAAATTACCTATCTGGTATTCATTCTAATGGGAGAGACAATCTCTCGAAATAGAGGCCCTTCAGCAATTGCCATCAAAAATGAGCCAGTTCTGTCAGTTAACTTAGCAACCAGTTTTTCTGATTATCCACACTGTATCCGTATTACTTGGCTTCTGCGCTGTTTTCTGGAGTGAATGGACTAATTCTGAGATAAAACTCAAATGTAGTTTGGGAATAGTTTGGGGATTATGGACAGTGTGGATGAGATGCTGTCTGTCTCCCTTTCATAACACTATCCCAATAGGTTTTACATCCTTAGCATGGCCACAAGCACACACCAAGCAAGGCAGGCTGTCAGAACCATG